CTTCTCCTTCAACGGCAAACGCAAATGAGTTTTGCAGAAGAATCTGCAACCAAATGATAGATCAATGGAAGCACTCGAAACGATTGGACAAACACTCCAGTTGACGGTGATTCGTATGCTCTCCTAAAGGGCAACTTCAACTTAAATGAATATCTGACCTTCTTGGATAGTGATATTCCAGATCTTTGTCTTTTCCACATTCCCCTATTCGCAGTGGTTGGCTACAGTAGGCGCACCGAAAGCAGTTCTTATGAACAAACATTGATTCCACTTGCATGCGCTCTGCCAAGTAGACGACCTTCAAATGGAACCTTGGTAAAAGAAAGATGTAGTTATGACATAGTCAAGAAAAAGAATGACACCAACCTTCTCACATAACTGACAAGTCTCTTGCCGATTGGGATTCACACTTTCGTAAAGTGCTGACATCGATGGCGCTGAGAAATGGCGCTTCGGCTGCACAGGCGCCACTGGCTGAAAAACTTTGAATTGAATGCATTCAGTGCTACGGTATAATTGCTCTCACCCTTAATACAACAGCATCACGTTCTTTCCCCACAGTCTTCAGCTTCTTAGGCGGAGCGGATAATGTGGGTTCTGGTGCATTGCTCTGAAACAAAGGAAGAATTGGTAGGTTTTGCCCATCGCCACTTATGATTATCGAGCGAACCAATGCCAACAGGAACCCTTCTTCTAGGAACCGCTCCACTTGTAGATCCACTGTTATGATCCTTTCAACTAAGTACTGCAGGATGAAGATGCAGCATAATATGTGAAATGTTTTGAGGGTAAACCATTCTGTTTCTTTTCCACAAGCAGTAATTTCACGATGTATCTGACCCTGAACTCCACAGAAAGCTCTCGGTAACCCGTAAAAACTGACCTTATCATCTTGAACAATTATAGGCTCCTTTCCCTTGAGCACCACGCGCGTGCCGGTATTCTCCAAGTTCTTTTCCGGTTCGTCGATGCCATTTTTAGCGATTTTCTCTGCCAAACGTTGCACCTGCACATGTAAAAAATCCACCGATAACAAAGTCTCGAGAAGAAGAAGTTGACGAAGAAA